CCCCAAAACCCCAAAACCCCAAAACCCCAAAACCCCTGATTTTTTAAAATAAATTGAAAATTCTTTAATTTTATCAAGAAAAATCAAAAGTGAAGAAATGTCGAACCAAGAAATGTGTAACAAAACTTCAGTAGAGCCTAGAGAGCATGTTGGCCCAGTTAGCACCTATTTCCAGCGATCTCTGGATTCGAGGAAGCACCATATGAGACCTCGAACAAAGTCTCCTTTCCCTCCTTTGAAGAGGAAGGTGTCTCACAATATGGGTAGTTTGGTTAAGCAAAACGAGAGCTTCAGCACAGCCATTGACAAATAACATTATTGAGATTTGTAGTGACACAAAGCTCAGCCCTGAAACCTCAATGCTTACCAATTACAAGATGCTCAGCTATGATGACCCTGCATGGAAAGAATTTGCTAAAAATAAAAAAGGCAAAGACAGGGATAGGGACCTAGGAGGCTCCAGAGGAACCAGTAAGCCATTCTATCAGTCTTTGTATTATCTAATTAGGCTTTGTAAAAGAGTTCTCAAGCATTCTTGGTTCATGGCCAAAAAGGATTATATCTTGAGTCTTTATTGATAATAGTTAGTTTTTAATTTCCAAAGACAACAACACCCAAGAAGGGAGGCTACATACCTGAATAGGATAGTTCAAGAATACTCTCTCTTCTCCTTCTTATTTCTCTAAAGTTCAAAGAAGGGTTTCGGGCCAAAGAACTAAAACAAGCAATTTTTAACATGTATTATAGCCCAACAATCAAATCCTTTCTCTGATTCCACAAACAAAAGACACTGATTTTCAATCGACAAAAGCACTAGAGAGTATTTAAACCCTAACAACTTGTAGATTTTGAGACATGAGTGCTCCCACAAGTGCGAACTCCCTCAAAATAGGCATGAACAGGCGCAGCAGAGTAGGTTCCCAGAACATCAGAGTCAAGCCATTCGTCAGGAAGGAGACTTGACTTCCCATTAAAATTGAACTGAATAAATCCTTCATCAACTGGAAAGCAGTCGCACTGAACTCAAATGATCTCTCACAAAATGATAAGGAGAATTTAGGGTTCTCTCCACCATGTCATGAGAAAGAAGTCATTAGAGCGGGGCCTGTCAAAGCTTCAAGAGCCTTCTCCCATGAGACTGGCAGGAAGCTTTACAAGGATATCATCTCTGAATGTAAGCCTTGCCCATTAGCTTATCTGACCAATATTTAGTCAACCCAGCAATTTCTCGTGCAGCTTTGGATAGCCTTCCAAAGAAATGATTCGACCCAGCGAATATCTCCAGAAGTCTTAACAGACAATATGGGGTTGCTACTAGAGACCTGAGCTCGAGCTCAAAAGGACCCTTAAGCAATAAAACTTCTAAAATCTTAAACGAGAATGCACGCCAGTGCAAGTACAGGTCTGATTACGTAAATTACTCGAAGTACAAGAAACAGCAGTCTATTCGGCTCTATGGCAACAGTGTTAGTTATGGACCTAACTATTCCATAAATAATCTGACCAACAATAGTTTTAAAGAGGAGAACTCAAAGTCTGCTAAAAGAGCTCCACATATTTTAGAAGAGAGCCATCGGGATCATAGCCAGATCATTATGAAGGGTCGCAAAGTTGCTGGGCTAGCCCCCATCCAAGCAGGCATCCATGTCAGGCCCAAAGAGAGTTCCCTACCAAAATGAAAATGTGAGCCTCGGAATAGGATTAAGATCTCTCGATGTGGTGCTAAGATACCTTTTCTCACCTCCAAAAAATGCCAGAAAAACTGATGAAATCGGAAGAATCTGAATTTAAAAACAACTAAATGTCCTTCAGAAAAATATCAAAATTTGAGCTGAATTAATATAAAAAATACTTCAAAATTGGTCAATAATCTACCAAAAAGTATGGACACAAGTGCGGCTGCGTCTGACTGACAAGTTGATGATATTAACCCGTCATATTACCTAACTTTTGGGTCAAGAATCTAACCTATTTGAGCATCTTTAAATAATAACGACTAATTCATACATTTCGAAGAACTCAATATTTTCAAATAAAGAAGGGGTTTTGGGGTTTTGGGGTTTTGGGGTTTTGGGG